TTCATTACAGTTTCTCTAAATTACAGTTCTTGATTACAGTTCCTCTAAAATAACGGTAATTGTAGAACTTTATGAAGTTTTCGTAATGAATTTTATTCGTAACAATTCATTTTCAATATTACAGAGTTATGGAGATAGTTTTAAGAAAAGCTAAGTTATAGAAAATATAACCAATGTATGACTGCTACGACAAGATTACAGATGAAAACGAAACTGACTTTTAAAATGTTGGGGAAAATAGTCTTTCATAATTTCTACTAAAATTCTGTCAATTCTGCCAAATTGAATGCTGCAACAAAATTAAGACGATTGTTGGTAATAAATAATGTAATAGTTATATTGGTGGAAAATATCAACGCAAAACTCTAATAATTTCTTAGAAATATTCTGCTTATAATTTGTACAAGGACAATAAAAAAATTATGAAATATACAGCCGAATAGAGTTTTTGTTTATTTCTATCCTAAAAATTAAATTAAAATATTAAGAAAGAATATACAGCTGATGATTTTTTTTTTCATAAAATAAATTGACAGTAGTAAAAACTAAACTACTTTTAAATATCCAGAACTCAGTTGGTGAACATGATAAAATTTGATTTAAATAAGTAGTCTTCTATGCTCTTTGACAGAAATTATGATTTCATTCAGCAATGAAGTGTCGGAGTCGGTTTTTCTTGCTCTCTAATAAAATTAAGCACGGCTTGAATTTTAAATAGTTACTTACCTAACTCCTCCACCGTGTATCTCTCAAATGAACTGAAACTCACAAACAGAGAAACTTTCAAATATATGCTAAGGCTTCAGAAAAAGTGATGCTCGTAACTGTTCCAAAGCACAAAACTGTACTCCTTGTCTGGTGACTATAAAAGGGCAGTGCTCACAGTCTGGTAATGATCCTCGTTCCGGAAATGGATGATCTGTGGCGCAAAATAGTCCAACGGAAGGACCTTCTAAACGACTGAGTGACCAGAATAACATGAGGGTGGGTTCCGGTTCAGGAATTAAACAGTTACGCTAGATTATTTTGACATATAACATTTTAACCCAACAAAAGATGCGCATTTGCACAAAGAAAACTATCATTTAGAAGCAGTAGCTGAGTTTTTTTTAGTGGACAATTAAGTGTGGAGCAGTTCTTCAACCAGGCATTGTATCTTTTGTGGTTTACAATGGAGAATTGCTTTCCGTAGGTAAAGATTACTGAGATTTTGTATTTGTTCACTATTTTTATTTTCCTTTTGAAAATAAACAATAAAGACCGGAAGCAAATTAACAGTTTCTTTAGATGAAGAAATTTATGGTACGCTAGCCATTTGTGATGAATAGGAGAAACTTTTCAAATCAAAATGAGGTAGAAACTATTTAATAACTTTAATAATATTCACTCAGTAACTCAGGAAAGTTGCTGGACCGTTGCGAAAGCCAATAAAATACTTTTAAAATGCACATACTTTTAAAACTAAACAAAATTTAACATCAGCTTGGCGTTGGTGTAGTAGAATAGCTGAATACATTTCGAGTAAAACTATCAAAAAAACTTTCCCATTGTTCAAGGAGTAAAATTATTTGAGTCCTTTTTTGCAAAACATTTGTTCGTTATATAAGAACTAAAAACGAATGTGAAACGAAAGGTAACCAAATTTTTTTCCTTACATTAAAAATAGAAGAAAAAAGAAAAGAAGCAAAACAAACAAACAAACAAAGAGAACGAAATAAAATATAACATTTTAAACAATAGCTCTGAAACACTCGGTATATATACTTGTATGTAAGATAAAAAAAAAAAAAAACATGTAAATCAGCTTAATAATTAAACTTAGCAATAGGCTTAAAAATAATAATGACTTTCGTGACTGCGACATTTCTAAATTAATCGATGCCACTGAGCTCTTGTAAAGCTCGTAAAGTAGCTTGAAAAGTTTCAGTTCTCAAAATTTTAAGATATGAATAAGCTACAAAATTTTAAGATATGAATATCTTAAAATTTTGAGCACTGAAACTTTTCTGATTTAAACCAAGACCTTCCTCTTGGCCATCTTCCATATTGGATAAATGCGTATTTTAGCTTCCACTTCTGTGTTACTTGGAAGTTATTTCTCTATGCTCTTTTCCTATCGCAATAGTATCAAAAATGTAAACATTTTCGAAATACGCACGATTAGAGTGTCGAGTAAATTGTAGTCACAAATGTCAATTGAAATAAAAATTAATATTTGGTATTACACGGGTGCCAAGTTTCCTAATCACTATAGATTCAACATTAGACTATGGCTATAGCATATTATGCAATCATATTACTGATGCTATAGCATATTATGTGATCAGAATTCTCTCCTTCTTCAGAAAATTATAGATCTACTACGTTCTGTGAATTCTACGTGCTACAAAAAAAAAAAAAAAAAAAAAAAAAAAAAATTTGCTAAGTTTCTACGTCTCAATTTTCCTACATTAGTACTTCTAAATTTGTTTTTATTACATTATATATATATGTAACCGTGAAAGATCGAAATTGGAGAATGTCGACTTTCACCAAATACGTCGGTGAAAGATCCAATATTGCGTTACATTCTTGTACATTCGGACCCTCACCGGTGTATGTCGACAATCACAGATATGCTCTGGTGTAGGTCGAAAAAAGAGGTTTTAAAGTGTCATAATAGTTTAAGTTGTTGCAATAAATAAGATTTGAATTTGTTACTATTATTTTATTTTCTCATTATGACGTACTGTATAATTAGTAAGTTCTTAATTCATTCCCCATAGTACATGCTGAATGTCAACATTTACCGGTGTAAGTCAGAAGTAAGAGTATTTGGAAAATATTTCGGGCATACACCAAGCGACTATGTGAATGTTGACATTCACCGGTGAAAGTCGACATTCTCCAGATTTCTGTGTTTCACCGTAACATGTGTTTATATATGCGTATAAACTTAAAGGGTCTAAAAATTTAAAAAAAAAAAAAAAAAAAAAAAAAAAAAAAAAAAAAGCCATTCATCTAGAAAAACAAGGCAATTCCTTTATATAAAACACAAAGTCACACTTCAAATAATTTTGAATTGACACGTTTAAGGTAGCTTGAGAACTTGCCTAGAAATTTAAGATAACGATTATAGCAGTAGTAAATGGCTGACAGAACGCTTGCTGTGATGTTATTCCATCATAAATAAGCTGCAATGTATTTATTTAATATTGAAAAGGTTTAATTGTTCAAGATGTAGCTGTACACTTTTTTTCATTAATACACTTGCACAAGAGTCTTAAGCAAATATTTCCCGTGTCTTTGTTGATGTCGCCTGTTCAAGAGTTCGTGAAAGAACGAAAGTAAAATTAAAAATATTGGATGGTCCTCTGCTAGGCGAGCTTAAAAATGACGGAAAGATCTACACAAGAAATGTTGTTTACAAAGAGATCTTTGACATGGGAATTAACATTTCATTATTTAAATCATTTTTATTGATTGAGCTAGCGGTGGGCTCTTAAGAAATGTACCGCCGGTGGTTTCCTTCACTGTACTCTACTTTAAGCAATTAAGCAAGTAGAAGGGGGAAAACCCGTGGGACAGTAAGCAAAAGGGCGTTCTCACCGCCTGCCCTGGGTAATTCAGTTTAAATTAGCAACACCTTTGCACAAATCATTTTAATTACAATTTATAATATCTAGAACAGCGGTCATTTCGTACGTTCGCCGGGCTTTCTAGTTATTTATAAGGGATGTTGTATTATTGAAGGAATGAAATTAATATATATGACACGCTCAATGGATTTCAATATGTTATTTTTATCTTAACAATATACAAATGTGCTGTATACATTCATTTAAACTGATTTGAATTTTTGTGCCCAAATATATGCTTTACTTTTTACTATCTAAATCAACAAAATATTAAAAACGCATAAATAAATTAACTGCGACGTGAAATTTAATCGGTCGCAAAACAGATGCCTGTAAGTGACCGAATGGTAGGACCACGGAACGCTGGTAATACGACGACCCGTGCTCATATCCTGGAGAAAAGGTTGACTGCGTGAGAGTTTTTGGCGTGGTTTGTCCCATTGTGTAACATGCATACGTGCCAATTTTCTCCCCCTCAAAAAAAAAAAAAAAAAAAAAAAGACAGAACCCCCAAAATAGAGAGCTCAGGAAGGCATCCCTAGGCAGATAACCCTCGTATGATTTGCCCATAGTCTTAAAAACAATAATAAAAAAGAAAGAAAGAAAAAGGAAAAATAAGATAAATTAGTAACAAAATCTGAAAGCTTTCATATTTTGTATTACGCCCAAAGGGGCATTTTTTAAACGTTTTGTGTATTACCTTTATTTATTAAATTTCATGTTCTTCGCACTTAAACCATAAAATTCAGTTCAACAGCAATATCACAAAATATTTAAAAGAGCATATCTTTAGAATTTAAGATACACAGTCTCGCACGCTTAGAGATAAAAATATTTCCCCTCCCCGTACAGTGTTGCCATTGCTCGCTTTAAAATTGTTGAGTTTCTTAATCAAAAACTCATAAATGCTTTGCAAATTATGAATAGGTAGATATAAAATATAGATAGATATATTTTAGTTATAAAACAGATTCCAAATTTGGGCTTCCTGATGCCCATATTAGGGTTGAGACGTCCGTTATTCAAAATTTAATAGTTCTAGGTACCGTTCTGTTATCACAATGCGAGAAGCATACATACATTTATGCAGATTCTTCATAATTTAAGTTTTTTAAATATAATACAGGGCTCAATATTTGGCGACAATTATTTAGAAAGTGATTCGCCATTTATAGTGAATCAACGCAAAGTGTGAAAACGAAATTAACAGCCCTTTGGGCTAAAAAAAGGAAAATAAAAGCGCCATCCGAATAAATAGAGTTCGGAAGAACTGAAGTTTGATATAATAGACGCATTTTCGCAATCGCTCTTACAAAATTCTCAAGCCCTTAGACACTTTTAAATTTATGTTAATTATGAGTTACCTTATAAATATAAACTCACATAAGCAGACGCTGGCAAACATATCACAAAACAACTTGTAGAGCAGCATAAAAGTAAATAGAATTGACGACAGATTACATAACAGGTGGAGAAAGTCATGTGCCATACTGTCATGTGCTTTGTTAGGAAGAATGCGCTTCGCTCGTTTTATTGATAAAATTTTATTAAAAAGGATTTGAGATAACTTAATTAGAAAGAATAAAATTAATCATTTATAGACAAAAAAGTTATTTCAAAAAGGCTTAGACAAAAAAAAAAAAAAAATTAAGAATGCTCTTTTTTTTTTCACATTTTTTGTTAATATGATAAATAAAAGATCTCGCAACAAAGGAAAAGGTTGCCATACCTTTCTGTTTAAGCAATAGAGCGTAAGGTACGCTTGGTAAACACATATGAAACATACCACCTGTTGATAGAGTCAAGACTCGATTATTCATCTCGGAGTAAATGAATTACGTAACTGCAAGCGAGCAAAATAAATTATGAAGAATAGATATTAAAACACCGACTGATCTGAGCGATAAAATGATTAAAAACTAAAATATTAAGCAAAAATAATTTTAATATGTGGAAAGTGTGGTTTAATAATTAAAAAATACTCGATTTTCTAGTTATTAATTAGCTATGGATTCAGTGAAATTGTGCAATATCATTTTAAAATTGTAGTGTTTAATGTTATTTATTTTTTGTGTCCAAGTTAGAATACTAAACGTAGTCAAAGTTGCTTTTATTTTGATATTTATTTTCAAGCTTTTGCAGAGAATATTTCGAATTTTTAGACTGCATAAACATATTTCTAACGGTGGATTTATTGGTTAATTAACAGTCAAATAAGTCCACAACGCAATATTGCAAAGCAAGTGTGATAATATTAATAGGCCAAAATTTCAATAAGTGTGTGTTAGTGATTTAGTACATTAATAGGCCAAAATTTCAATAAGTGTGTGTTAGTGATTTAGTATATGCGAGCTTTTATCATATCAATTAAATAGCTATGCTGCTCAGTGGTTGGTGACTTTGACTGCTATAGCGATGGGCCCGGATTCAAATCCCAGAGAAGGCATGGTTGTAACTGTCCATTTTTTCATAGAAGGCAATGGTGGGCACTCATTAGATGCTTCCATAATGGGCGCTTCCGGCTTTGGTAGTGCAAGGCTTTGTGTTTCTGGCGTAAGGCTATTAGCTATTAAATTAAAGTGCCCCGCAATTATTTAAAAAAAATAAATAGCTATTAAATTAATTCATTGTGCCACATACTAGAGGATACTTAGAGAGAGAATAGAGTGCTCTTCAGCATATTCGCTTACGGTAAATTTTTGCATAGATACAATGTCCTTGAAAAAGAAGACCTATCCTGACGGACCATACAACTAATTCCCTCCTGAAATTTAGATTATGATCTTATAGAAGCATTAGGTACTTTTTGGAAGCAGGCAAGATGAAAAATTAGCAATGCCTTCTCCGGGAATCGAGCCACAGAAAAAACGGCGTAGCGTGCAAAACCACTACACCACAAAAGCACGCTAGGAAGGCGGGAGAAATACCTTATAATCTTACAAACACCATTTTTAGACCTGGATTTCATTCCTAACGGACGAATGTGAAAATACAAAATGTATTTTTCTTATTTAACGTTCTTGAGAAAATTATAAAATGCAGTACATCGTATATTATTATGGTAATAATTTTTATGGTAAATATTTCTTATGAAAATTTAATGGAAAAGTAAAATTAAGGAAAAATAAAATAATAGAAATGCAATTATTACGAAAACATAAATAACTCAATCTGTTACTTTATGAGGTATTTCTCCCGTCTTCTTAGCATGCCATCGTGGTGTGATGCACTGGGCGCGTGTTCCAGAGATCCATGGTTCGATTCCCGGCGAGGGCGTTGCTCATTTTTTGCCTCTTCTCCTTCAAAAATAACTTAATGTCATTACAGTGGCGCCCGAACTAAAAGGGTGGTGAATAATGATTCTCCACACCCAGGATTTGGCGGCTGGGTCCTCTGAAAACCCCAGTCGCCATTTAAAAGGGGGAGTATATAAAGTATTTCTCCCGCCTTCTTCGCACACTTTCGTGGTGTGGCGGTCTTCACACTGGGTGCGTATTCCAGAGGTTCGTGGTTCGATTCCCGGCGAACGTGTTACTCATTTTTCATCACTCCTTCTTCCAAAAATACCTAATGTCTCTACAACTTAATCAACACAAAATAAGTTTGTTTACAAACCTTTTGTAGAAACATCAATAGCCACGTATGGTAAATAAAGATAACATTTTGTTATTAATAACTGTATTTAAGTAAGTCTTTGTCTTGGCATACTGCATGTAATTTTATTGTCATTTTCATAAATAGAATAAAGTAATAGTACAGAATAAACCAATTCTTCCTTGTAAAATAGAGTAGATTATATAGTAATTCTTCTTTGTAGAATAGAGTAGCTTATATAGTAATTCTTCTTTGTAGAATAGAGTAGATAATATAGTAATTCTTCTTTATGGAATAAAGTAAAAAACTACCGGAAAGTGTTTTACCTTTTCCAAAACCGCAATGGAAACAAGTAATTAAAAGTAACATTTGCATCATAAAATATTCAGATGCTACAAAGAAAACTTGTTGAAAAGTTTGAAAAGTATTTAAATTGTACAATAGCTAGATTTAATATTTTTTCTTACTGACACACTTAACTGGGATCAATTAAATTTTGATTATTTAATTTTTTTAAATGTTTTAGGTTTTAAAAATGTCTGATTTCTTTTTCCCGTTTATTCTGTTCATCAAATAATACCTTTTGTTTACCACTCAGGAACAATACATATTTTTTCATTACTTTATTTTACCATACAAAAGCGAATTTTTGAATATAAAATACAAAGGGAAATTCAGTCATGGACCTACAAAGAGTAATATATGCTTCTTTACTTTACTATGAATATATGCAATGAAAATTGAAAATACTTCACGAATAAATGAATGAAAATATATAAGAAGGTGAAATTATATAAAAGTGATTTGATTTCGTCGCGTAGACAACATTTCCATTGATCTCAAGTTTACAACTTTTACTCTTTTTGTGTGTTTGATTGTTTCTTATGTGAATATTCTGACAATCTGTTACATACCTTCTTTTTCTACATATTTATGCGCCTTCAATAATAGCGTTCATCTCTACATATAATAAAAGAAAGAGTCTGTCTGTGTGTGTCTTTCGTTCCTGCTACGCGTAAGCTAATCGACCCAGGGCTACGAAATATGGTACATATTTCGTAGCCCTGGGTCTAGGTGCATCTAGACAAGAGCCAGTGCACCTCGAAGTGAAGTTTTCAAAATTCGAATCAGATTTTTTTTATTTTCTCTTTTTTAACGAAATCGCATTATTTTCAATAGATTCATTTTTTTAGAAATGTGGTTTTGGCAACAGTTTTTCATTCAATGCTTTGTATACTGGACTGCTGACTGTTGAAAATATGAGATAAAATATTTATTGCATATTTCACTATTTTTTAGATACTGAAAAGTTTGGCATGATTTTTCTTTTGAACGAGAAGTTGGTAAATTTATTTATTAGTTTAATATAATTAATATAATTTAAATTTATTTATTAGTTTAATTAATTAATATATTTCACATTATAATTAATATTTGTATTAAGGGATACTGCTTATTTCATGCTGCTTATTTACATTTGATTTTCGGACATGCAACACGCACATCGCAATTTTCTTATTCTGACGTGCATATGTCTCGCGAGGCACAACAGAAAGAATTTCCTTTTTTTTTTTCCGTCTCTCTGTGTCTTTATTAGCTAATGGCAAAGAGGTTTGTATATTTTGAATTATGTCATCCACAAAGCACAATTTTGATTGGTTATTGCTTTCTGATGATACTTCACTCTTTTAGAAATGTGATTTTGGCAAGAGTTTTTCATTCATTGCTTTTGGATACTCGACTGCTGAATGTTTTCTCTTAAAAATGTGAGATTTATTGCTTTCGTTGTAACTTTTCTATATTATGTTTTAATGATATATAATTTTAATTGTATAAAATTTTTTGCATGATTTTTTTAGGAAACAAAGTTTTTATTTCTTTATACCATTTGAATTCTTAAGATTTTGCAATGGGAAATTGGTTAATTTATTGATTAGGCTAATTAATATTTGTATTAACGGATATTGCTTATTTCATTGTAATCTTTTAATATGTGATACATTTTTATTGATTTTTTTATAAAGTTTTTCTGCAGAGTAAAAATCTGTGCAGGTTTTAAATTTAATGTTTGGTGTTCCCTTTAGGCATTTTTACGGTACATTTAAAAGCCAGACGAAGGCTAGCCGCATAGCGTCTAGTCGATAATAAAATGCAAGTGTCTTTGAAAAATAAAACATACTTTGACACGTTATTGCAGTGCAACGCATAGCCTTCATGGTCGACTTGGTGGTCATCCACTAGACTTTACATCACGCCATTGAATAGTTACACTGGGCAGTTCATGGTCGGTTAAGTCGTCACAGGTCTATTCTTCTTCATTTTTAACACAGAAATATCTATGTCATATTCCCTGAAAAGCGGGAAACTGCAAAAAGAAAAGGAAGTGTTTTCATGTTAAAAGTGTTAAATATAGTTCTAAACTTGACCTTTTAACAAAAGCTTACAACTGAAAAAACGTGACCCGATTCCTTTATAATTTAAAAAATGAAAATTAGGTTGCTTTTCTGCACGGAATTTATATTTAACTACCCTAAATGAGGAAGAGTTCTTTTGTGATTAATATTTATTCGTTAAGTTTTAACATGTGAAGTGTACTTATTAAAAGAAAGGAAGTAAGTTTTGGTGTTTAAGTGTTGCTGATGCGGAATAATATGCGGGATGTATTTTCCAGTTTCTGATCACTTCTTAAGTATTTTGCAATAATATATCAGTCTCAATATAAATCATAGTGCAGAAATCCAGTAACAGAAAAAAGAAGAATCAAAATATCGAAGGAGCGAAGGGGAAAAAGAAATTAGAAATGTTTTTCCGTTGTATGGTTTGGTTTATTTAATTACGGGAAAGCTCTTGAAAACTATCTGCCTAACG